CCCAAAATTTCACTTGAAGATGAAACAGAGCTTGATACTTCAATTCAATTTCAATAATTAAATTGAAGTTTTTAACTCCTGTTTTTGAAACATGAGAACTTTTATGTATGTAAGAATTTAAGGAGTCAGTTTTGCTATTAAAACCTGCATCATACAAAACCATCACATAACACCAACTGCCATCAATGAACGGCTTATGCACCACTTCATAAAGAGAATTACATCATTTCTGTTTATGCTCCAACTCTTAATGATGATGAAGAAGCAAAGAATCAAGTTTACCAAAAACTAAGTAACATTATTGATAATAACATTGATGGACAATCTCTTGTTATTAGGGGGATTTCAGTGCAAGGGTAGGAAAGGATTATTGCCTATGGGATAATGTCATCGATAAAGACGGTATGAGGAGTTGCAACTCCAATGGACATCTACTACTAGATGCATAGAACACAATTTATTCATCACAAATACACTGTTCTGACTTCCAACTTGCTTGAAGACCATATGGATCCATCCCATACTAAACACTGGCATTTGATAGACTATGTCATCATAAGGCAACAAGACAAGAGACATCCTCATCGTGGGCCTTAATGCTGACGCCTTGCTACATATTGAAATCAACAACCTGATTGAGGCAAAAAAAAAAAAAAAATGCTCATCTGGCTCATGAACAAGACTGAAGATCTAGACTAAAAAAAGAAGCATTTCCAGAAGCTAAAACAGGAGTGTCAAACAAATCTAAGAGAACTGCAGAATATTTGGTGGCAACAAAAAGCAGTCAAACTTCAGGGCTATGCAGATGCATGTGATCTCAGAAATTTCTATATGGGAACAAAACAACTATCTGGACCAGTATGAACATCAGCTGGATCCCTTCTACCAGCTGACAATACAATCATCCTGACTGATCCACAAGATATATTCCTATGCTGGAAGGAACATTTTTCCACCTTCCTAAATAGAAGGTTTAACACAGTTCCAAATCATCTTCCTCAGCTATCGATGAAAATGAGACCTACTTTTCAAGAATTCAAGCAAATGAGAATAAGAAAGCCCGCAGACAACATTCCTCTCGAACTATCAAACATGGCTTACCTTTGCAAACCCACATTTTCACCCTCATATGGGAATCCCAACAAGTTCTCAAAGAACTGAAAGATGTAGTCATAATGATCTTCAAAAAAGGTAACCAAAAAGACTGGGAGAATTATTGAGGAATATCATTATTCTCCATCATGGGAAATGTCTGCTATGATCCTTCTAAATCAGCTCCAGATCATTGCTGAATCTCATTATGGATCCTTGCCTCTCATGGCACAGTCAACATAATTTTCTGTACAACTCCAAGAGAAACCAAGGTAAAAAAAATCTTTTCCTTGTTTTCTATGACTCAGAAAAGGCTTTTGATAGCATTCCAAGAGCTGCTATGTGGAAAGTTCTTCATAATTTTGGATGCCCCAAGCACTTTATCTCACTGGTTCAAGCAATGCATGGTAATGCCTGGATGTGTATTCCACCAAAACATGTCATCAGAAGAATTTCCACTCATGCGCAGACTGAAACAAGGATGCTCCTATGCTATTCTCCTTGTATCTTGCTGTAATGTTTCACAAACGTCCTTCAAACAACAAATATCTAAATGATGGAGGACTTTTCAGCCTTAGTAGACATCAATCTAAACATCTAATATACATGCAACACATCTCAGAACTTAAATACTCTGATGACAATGCTGCCCTCTATCATTCAAAACAACTTTGCTATAGCCTATCATTGCTTTGGCTTTACAGTAAACATCAATAATAAAAGAAAGTTCCTTGCACAGCCATCCCCAAATACCATCTTAACAAATTTTGATATTACCATTTTTGATACATCGCTCAAATAAGTAGAACATTTTCCATATCTAGGCAGCCTTTTATCAAACAAGTGCATCTCAGAAAAGGGTGTGGAACAAAGAATTGGAGCTGTACATGGGGAATTTGAGAAGTTAATCAAACAAGTCTTTTACAATAAAGATTTAAACTTAACAAAAATGATGATCTATAATGCATTTGTCATTTCAAATTGACAATATGGCAGTGAAACTGGAACTCTATATTGTTGCAACATCCAAAAATTAGAACACTTTCACTAGTAAAAGCTTTGCTCAATCTTGAGCATCAAATAAGAATACTATGTGGCTAACAACAAGGTCCTGGAAAGAGCCAACAGTCAAAGCATCAAATCACTGATCATGATTGTCTCTGATAGTTAGGACATGTAGCAAGAATAGAAGAGTCAATGTTTCTATGTCAAGTCTTTTCAGTGAGCTCACTTCAGAGAAAAGACCACAGGGTTGCCCTCTTTGAAGATACAAAGATCAACTTAAAGCAACACTGAAAGCCACTAGACTTGAGCCTAAATTATTTGAAACACAAACCTGAGACCATTGGAACCAAAAGCTTTGAAGGCACCAGAAAAGAAAAGAGGAAGGCTCAATAAAATCAACCTCATCCTCCACCAAAATGCAGTTGTTGGATTCAAAAGGCGATTATCTCCATTTGGTTGAAATGAAATTATGTGGGTTGCATGACAGCTGCTTAGTGATGTTACTCCATAGTGTGACAAAAGTGGTCAGTCAGTAAGCTCCTAAGAGTCAAACCAAGCAGTTGCTTTTTTATAGCACATGGTACAGCTACAAGCATATGACACTGTTTTCTTCACCAAATATAGAAAATATCCAGCTCATAGTCCTCAATTTGGAAAAAATGCAGGACTCGTCGGTTGCAGAATATGTCCTCGCTAGTGACGTAGGAGATGAATCCAGGCCACTCAAATCTAAGTTCTAAGTATGGCTTCTCCAGAAACAGAAGAATCTCTTGTCGCTTCAGCTCGAATTGAGAATTACTATATGTACAACATGTTTTGTAGTCTTTTCACACTGCTTGTTTTTGCATATATGTGTTATATTTTCTCTGAGTGGGACAACTGTAAATATGCATATATCATTTTTTGTATCATTTAGCAGTATGAAACTCTGAGAACAAAGCATGTTTGTCATTTACTTTTTGTCCTGTCTGTGAAATATGTGATATCATGGATATAATACAAGTAATGGGGGAAACACAAATATCTCCAATATCTCACCCATTATCTGGTAACTATGATGTGATATATTATAATGCCTATTAAAATCTATGCCATAGACTCTTCCAATTACCAAAGAAGAAATTAAATTCTTGGATACAATATAAAGCTGCTGACAATGGTATATATATATGTGACACTATTTAGCTATGGTAATTGGCTAACTAATTAACCTTAGAAATTAAAAACAGGAAAGACTTAAGGCGAGAAAGAACTATATCGAAAGATAGACTGAGCAACATTAAAAAGAAGATTTTATTTTATTTACCAAGAAAGATACTTTTCACACAAGACAGAAAATTCATAAGATAAAGCGAGATATGAGATTCCTTCAAAACTGATTAATGTCCTGATAAGAGAGTGACGTGCCAAGGGAAACAGAATTCAGAAAGAAAAACAAAGCCAACCGACACATGGCGGCCATAAAAAAATTTCAGCTTGAGACCATCGCGATACAGGCAGAGAGAATTGATATTAGTTATCTTTCAGAGATATCATTTAATTTTAATTCCTGGGTCCAATGAAGAGAACCATCTGGTGTGTGTTAGAATTCTGGCATGAGAAAGAAAATCATAAAGGAAATTATTATTATTGCTTATTCAAACTGTTGACATCAGACACAGCGTTTGACAGTGATTAATGGGCATCTGGTGATAAGAGGATTTTAAGGCATGATGAAAAATAAAGAATTTGATTCTGGGGTAAATGTTTTGGCAGAAAGGATTTTGTAAAAAAAATTTTAAAACAAATTTTGGATATAATTTTAAGAGGGCCAGTCTAGCCACACCCACACTGCCGAGAGATTACTGGTCAAGTGGTAGCATGGGTGATAGGCGGAGGTGAATGTATGAGAAAGACGGAGAAGTTGTTAACACCCACTGAGGGGATTGGTATGAGATACCAATGTGAGAGAGGAAGAGTCTAGGAGGATAACTCTCCTCCGACCTTCCCTCACAGACGAGGGAGAAACCCCCAAAATGGAAAGTGATTAATCTTCCAAAAATGGGAAGTAATTAATTTTTCTGGCCTAAGAACAAAGAGAATTCTTGCTGGGAATCGAGAATTATCGGGAACCCAAGCCACATCAGACCCCACACCGGGTTTTGGTCGGTATCCATATAAACGAACGTCTCGAGACAGCTAATCAGTTAGTTTTGCAGGAGTTCCAGCAGTTGATTCGCAGTTGCAGTCAGACCGTTGCCTCGCAGAAGCTGACCGAGAGATTTCCATGTTATTTTTGACTTCCTACCAAAAGCAAATTATATTGACGAAGGACTTAAGATACCAAAACTCGCTTAAGAAAAGCAAAAGTGTCACAAATCCATAGAAATGGGCTGGGAGAGAAACACACTCCTGTATATAACAGACGGATAAAGATAATTTGTTATTTCTCAACATATTTGAACCTCTTGAGTTTGTTTTATTGCTTCTTTTACTTACGCTTGTGCGATATCACCTTTAACCTGGATTCAGCTTGCACTACGGCCTGACGCCTGATTGATTTCGTCTACCTAAGGTCAAAGTCACAACGTGGGTAGGTTAGACTGAGATCAAAGTAGTTACTTTGGTAACCAGACGTTGGCAGTGGGCTGGGAACGACAAAGCTGGTATCGAACATGGAAACGACCAGATCGACCGGGACACGGGCTGATGGCAGCGACAGAGTCAACCCCAAAACGCTGGTGGAAGAAACCTTACAGCTTCGCGCCGCAATTGGGAGTTGATTTCAGGCCGACAGCGCAGTGTCACATATTGGCGTCGCGACCATAACACCGGTGGGTGTCACACACACTGCACATGCATACAGGCACACTAAACCAAGCATTAAATTTTCAAGTTAAAAACAAAATAAAACAATAACTTACCAATATCATGTTCCTTGAGTACCAAATCTATATCTGGCAAGAAGGTGATGAGTAATTGCCGCAAGACTCTTTGGTCAGCCTAAAAATTCACATTAAATCTTTGTGTTAAAAAATATAAGAATAAATCTAACTTAATATTTTTTCATGTAAAAAAGTGTCAAGAGTTGCATGAATTGTGATCATTATATCAAGATAAACATTCATATTGTGAAAAATGAAAAAGTTAATCAAGTTATCTTATATATAATAATATAAATCTGGTAATTTATCTTTTAGATATTTCAATTTTTAAATGAAATAAATTGTCAACTTATGACCAATGTCATGTATTATAAAAAATTTGTAAATGATTTTTCATGAAAAAATTATTTAAAAAGAAAATTAAAAATCATATTTCAATTTATTAAAATTTAATAAATTATGATAAAAATATTAATCTGTTATGCATAAAATTCCTTCTTGTTTATTACACTGTTACCAATTCTTTCAGTTTTAGAATATTGATTTTTTTTTTCAAAAACAAATCTCTGCAAGTTTGTGGTTTGTTTCAGGTTTTTACTTTCAGCCATAATGAAATGCTGCTACTGTCAATTTTTGTCAGAAAGATCATTTAGGATTTGCTAGTAACATAATTTTTAAATATTTTAATATTTTAATTTAAAAGTTGTAAAATTAACTGTTTCACCTGAAAATTTGAAAACAAAAATTAAATCCCAATAGTTGCAATTGTTTGCTATATCTTTTTTCTAGTTCAACACTGACAAGAATTAATTTAAAATATCACAAATTTCCTATATCAATAAAAAAAATTTCAGTATTTGATATTGGAGGCAAAATAAATAAATCTACCTAAAACATAATTAAATTTTTTAATGACCATTAAGTAAAAAGTAATTTTCTAATTTGATTGAGTAAAAATCCAATTCAAACAATACTCACTTTGCTTTGATTACAGAAAATCAATTCCATAAATCCCTCAAATACTCACCTGTATGCCAATTAGAGTACTGGAGTAATATGAAGCAGGCAGAATATCTTCAATTATTGCACACATCATCCAATATGTATCCTCTTCTTCCAGAAATAAAAGAAGGGAAGCAGCAATCTGCAAAGATATTGCAATTTATTCAATGTAAATTGAAAACAATGATGACAATGATTCCAAGTAGCAGATTATTATCCTTATATTTACTATAAAATAAACTAGTATAGTGAAATAACTTGGTATCTTTAGCTTACCATATCAAAAATATTCTCAGCACACAAATGCATATAAAAATGATAGCTTGGCCATAAAAAAATCAAAAAGAATTTCAATTTAGCCAAACAACCAAGACATTTCACCAAAAAGATTGACTGTCGAAATGTGAGCTCTGATTCTTTACCCATTCAATTTACAAACTTATAAACTTTTTTAATTTTATTTTTATTGCATTTATTATATATTATTATTATTATTCCCTTCCTGCTCCTGTCACCCTGATGTAATTGTATTTCATATTTTTATTTTTTATTTTGCTTATAATAATTTGATCCTGTTGTGGTCTATTTTAAAAATATTTGTTCACACACAGCTGCATTTAACATACTTGCTATCTAACTGGTTAATTTTCGGGGATATCTCAACTTATACTATGTAAATGGAAAGAGAAGAAATTGTTTTAGCAAAGACAGCCAGTCAAACTCTACGTGATTGTGGAATTGAAAAGCTTCTCTGGTATCATATCACATGAGTAGCTGTTAACTTTCCAATGGGTGAGCCTTACCGAATTGCCAAAAAGAGGTAAAGGGCAATAAGTACAAGAGGCCCTAATCATTGCTAAATTGGTTAAGCATCTTACATCACACAGTTTTCTTTTAGATAAACTGTATGGCTTTTGTTTCTCAAGGTTTACCTTCAATGTGTTAATGGTTGTTACTGAATTTATCTATCAGAACAGAACAGCAAGTCTCAGATTATGGCTTTAGTTATCTCAAAGAAATTTGACAGGGTTTGACATGCTGGCCTTCTCCACAACCACAAGGGCTATGCTATCTCTAGATGAATATTGAGCTTAATCCAATCATTCTTAACAAATCATGTAATGAAGGTCATATTGAACAAACATGCTTCTAGATCATTTCATATTAATGCAGTAGTCCAGCAGAGCTCTATCCTTGGACCTACGTTATTTCATATCTTTATCAACAAACTTCTCGATGTCACCAGTTCCCAACTAGGTATTTATGGTGACACAACTATTTATTCCTGTCTTACTAGCAAGTCCAATATCCGATAGAGTAAAACTGGCAGCTGCTCTCAAAAATGATCTTGAATCAGTGGTTTAACTGGGGTAAGGAATGTGTTGTGAAGTTGAAGTTAGCACTAATCAGCCGCTAAGCTCGTACTTCTACCTCGTTATTCCCAGTGACCACTTATATAAGTGTTCACTTATGCTTATGCAAATTATGCATACTAATTTGCTAGTATCACTACATCTCCCTGAACCTTAAGGGTTTTATTCCTCTCGTAGATCTTGTACTCCTTCTCTTGCTATTTTCATCACTTTGCTCTATTTCTCTCTCTCCTGTATTTCTTTCCCTGGGGGACCTCGATTTGTCCCGGGCTAGGCTGTAGTCATATGTGTTTTCTTGCATAATCTGGTCTTCGTCCGAACTTTCAGACTTCATCTGGCCCTCTTCCTCCTGCATTGTTTCCTCTTCCGATGTTTCCTTCTGTAATGGTTGTTCTACCAACTCGTTATCAGATGAAATTGAAGACATTTCTTCATCGTTTCGTTCTTCCTCTTCACCCTGGGCCCTTATTTGGTCTGCATCGGCTAACACACTATCGCCATTCTCTCTATTTATTATGGCTGTATTATGGCCTTTTTGCATTATAAATTCTGCTCCTTCCAGATTTGCATCTTTGCTCTTTTTTGTACCACATTTTTCATTTGTAGAATATGACATTGTTAACGGAGCTCTAATCTGTCTTCCCATTAAAGCTGATGTGCTTTCTAGTCTTCCCATGTAGCATCGTCTTATAACTTAAAAGCAGCCTCGGTAGAAAAAACTTCTACATTTTCTTTTTTTGCTGAGAGCATGCTTTTAGCCCCCTTTTTACGGTCTGTACCATTCTTTCTGCTAATCCGTTTGATTAAGGGTGATATGGAGGTGTCTTATATGGTTTACACCCCATTTTTTCTAACCATAATTAAAGTTCTTCCTCACAAAATTCTGGTGCATTATCAGATACCAAGGTTTTTGGTACACCATTTCTGGAAAATATGACTCTTAGAATCGGCTCCACTTCTTTGGGCTACGAATGTAATTTGGTTTGTGTAAAGTTTCTTAATTCTTTACATTTTTTACACCTTTTTACATATTCCTCAACGTCTCTTGAATATCCCGGCCACCAAGCTTCTAATTTTATCCTTTTTTGTGTGGCCGCTACTCCACAGTGTATATCATTATGTACACTTTCTATTATCGGTTTTCTTTGTGTTTCTGGGGGAAACTACCATTGCAAATCACTCCATGTTCTATTGTTAATTTGTGTCTTATTTCTTTATAGGGTCTTTCCACCCTAGAACAATTTCCCCACGAGTTTTTCCTTATTCTCGATATTATCCTACTTATCACTGGATCATGTCTCATTTCCGCAGCCATTCTGTCTAAAGACAAAACATCAGTCTCTATCAAGTGTAGGAATGAATCTTCAAATTCTTCCTCCGTTTTATCTTTTGACTCCTTGTAGAACCTCAATCTCGATAGTGCGTCCACATGTGGAATTGAATTTCCTTTGACATAATCTATATCAAAGTCAAATGCCATCAATCTTATCGCCCATCATAGAATCCTTGATGTCGTGACTTTGGGTAATTCTTTCCTTGGGTTAAATAAACTCTAATGGTCTATGATCACTTCTTAATAGAAATTTTTTCCCAATTAAAAATTGTCGGGCTCTGGTAGTTGTCCACACGATAGCCAATGCTTCTTTCTCTATGTTTGAGTAATTAAATTCAGTGTTCGTTAATCTTCTCGATAAATACATTATCGGATGTCCTTCTTGTGATAATATTACCGATATTGAATGTTCACTTGCATCTGTAGTGAGTGTTATGTCCTTTTTTGGATCAAAAATTTTCACTACAGGTTTGACAATTTCTTTTAATCTTTCAAAAGCTTTTTTGCTGTTAGATCTGACGACATAAATTCCACATTCTTTTTTTCTCTTAAATTTATGGTTCCATCAAGTCCGTGTATTTTTTAGTAAGTATCGCCTGTAAAAATTTACCAATCCCAAAAAGACTCCAATTCTTTTTTATTTGCAGGTGTAGCTACTTTTAGTATTTTTTCTATCAAGGCTTGGTCTGGTGATATACCTTCTTTTGAAATGGAATAACCTAAAAAAGATATTTTGTTAGAATTGCTTACGCATTTTTTTTCATTTATCATCATTCCAGCATTTCTTAATCTATTCAAGACTAAGTCAGTTTTCTCTTTTAATTCCTTTTCATTAGTAGCTCCTATGCATATGTCGTCTTGGTAACAAATCATATTTTGTACATTTCCTAAAACCTGTTCAATGGCCCTTTGAAATATGGCGCTTGCGGTTTTTATTCCATATGGTATCCTTTTCCATCTTAGTAACCCTATTGGCATATTTATCGTGGTTACTTCCTTGAAGTTTTTGTCTATTGGTATTTGGTGGTATGCCATTTTTAAATCTATTTTTGAAAAAAACAGACATCCCTGCCAGTGCATGTGATTTACTCCTATTTTGTAATCTCCACAAATACGTAAATCACCATCTGTTTTCCTCAAAACTACAATCGGTGATGCCCACTTGCTACCTCCAGGCGGAACATGTTCAAGAAGGTCTTGTTCTACTAATTTACGTAGTTTTGTCACTACTAATGGCAATAAATGTACTGGTAATTTTGTGCCTCATAATAAGAGGGGAAACATTTTCTTTTTACTTTTAAACTTGCTTCATAGCTTTTTTTAACTTTCCAGTTTTTTCCATTTTGATTTCATTAATTAACTTAGTAGAATTTATATTAAGCACGTCATTTCCAATAAGCCCGTGGTTTTTTTTTTACAACTTGTAACAATTATAGGTATTACTTCAAATTTTTCTTTTTAACTCTAATGAACCTTCAAAGTATCCTAATGTTTTTATAACCGACCCATCAAATTGGCGGAGTTGTAAACTGCTTTTTCGTAAAGGTGGCTTACCAATGTGTTCCTAAAAATTTTTTGGTATCAGTGTTACTTCACTCCCAGTATCCATTTGCATATCTAAATTGCAGTTATTAATTTTGACCTTTACTATAATGTCTTTTTTCTTATGTTCAAAAGTCTTATTTTTCAATGCAAAAACTTCCCTATCAGTGTCGTTTTCTTCAATTCTTTCAACATTTTTCTTTTTTAATTTACACACTGCTTGAAAGTGGTTCTTTTTTAAGCAATTATTACAAGTTTTTCCAAATGCTGGACACTTTTCCTTTTTCATTTTGTGTTCACATCCACAATACGAACACTTTTTTATCTTCTTTAACATTTACTTATTAGCGAATATTTGTTTGCTGGGTTGACTTTTATGATGGTGGTATTTCTGTATTAGTTCTTGTTGCTGCATAAAGTCAATACATGTATTTAAAGACATATTTCCTATTTGTAATTGTTCGATTATTTTATATTGGTGATCGGTGTGACGCATTGGACATACCTTCAATTAGTCTTAATTGAATCAAGTCCTCTTCAATAGTCTGTTCGTCTTGTCCAAGTTTTTCAAATTCACAATATCTACTTGCATTTCGTAGACGGTGTAAATATTTCATAATTGGTTCGTCAATTTCTTGTTTCATCGACATGAACTTCGTTCTTTCTGCCACTACCAGCCTTTTCTTGGGTCTCATATTTCTTATAATCTGACTTATTTTTTCGAAAGTCAGATCTTCCAAATTTAAGGGATACGCCATGGTGGAGACTTTCATTACCGCCTTGCATCCAGCTGTAGCCAAAAATAAATCCGTGATTTCATTTTCGCCTCCCTTTTCCTTGTTGTCTTTCATCTTTTTTGTTCTTGCAGTGGCAGAGAAACAACGAATCTATGTATCCACAAAATCTGGATCTTCCAGAGACAATTGATATCCTATCGGCAACGCCATTGTTGTGAAGTTGAAGTTAGCACTAATCAGCCGCTAAGCTCGTAATTCTACCTCATTATTCCCAGTGACCACTTATACGAGTGTTCACTTATGCTTATGCAAATTATGCATACTAATTTGCTAGTATCACTACAGAATGGCTTGCAAATTTTAAAGCTTTCAAAATAAAACTGCTATCATTTAATCACCAAAGAGAACCTTTCCTGCATTCCATCAGCATGGCTGATGTTAATCTCCAAGAGAACAACTCTTTGCACCTTCTTGGGCTCATGTTTTACACTGGTGCCCCTATATATCTTGAGATCATTGGCAAAATTCAAACAAAGGTTCGGTTTGGTTTATTTTGTTTTACAGCATATCAACCTGAATGGGTTACTTAATGCCGACAAGATTTTTATTGCTGGTAATATTTTTTTTGTCCAAAAATGTATTGCTGCTAATATTTTTTCTTCAAAAATTCATTACTAGTAATAATTTTTTATAAAAATGTATTGATGGTATTAAAATCTATTTTTACACTTTCATTGTGTTTTGTGACCCCATTTTGGGGTCAAACTATTTTCCTATACCTGGGACCCTAACAGGTGTTACCACCCCAGGTCAGGGTGGACCTGGGAACACCAACAATTAAGAGGTGGTTCTATGCTCCTCAAAACCTCCTGATTAGAGGCCTTGCTGTCAGACGTAGTTTATTCGCCTATCCAGGAAGCCTCATTTTTTTGGGGGGGAGGGGGGTCTTACCCCTCTGCAGAGGTGAAGTCAGCATATTCTATACCCCAGCCAACAGGACAGCAAACCAAAGGTCTGTAATGTAATCGATCTTGACTGGCATCTTGACTTCAGTTACTTTCTCACTGCTTTGACATGGCTTCCCTCTATCTTTTCTACAAGTATTTTCATAGCAAATGTTCTGATAAGCTTTCCTCCTTGGTACCTTGACTGCATGAATTTAAATTTACTATTAGATTGACAACTAGATTTCACCATTTTACTGTTGAAATAGCTAGATATAACCATATATTCTATTCTAATAGTTTCTTTTCTCACACTTCTCACCTATGGAACTCTCGTCTGGCTTCTTGCTTTTCTGCCACCTGCAATCTTCAAAAATTTAAATGCAATCCCAATTGCTATCTTCTGTCCTGAATCCTGTTCTTTTGTCCTTTCTCTTCCCTAAAGTCCTCTCATTTTCTTTCACTTCTAGTAACTTCTTGTGTTTTAGTGGTGAAAGGATTAAAAAATTTTTTTTTAAAGTAGCATAATTATTTTTAACAACAAAAAGCAAATTAAAAATATCACACATACAATCCTCACTAAATTTTTTATATATTTTACTTTTATATATCAGTAACATCATTCATGGAAGCATGCTATATGAGATAGGTATAAAACAAAATTATCAATTGTTGTACATCATTATTTAAAATACTGGCAGGATAGAGTGAAAAATATTTTAAAATTCTAAAATTGCAGAAAATCATTTAAAGTCAAATCATGAAAAAATATTCTACAGTCAAAACTCAAATGAAAAAGGTGTTCTTTCTTAAAGAAAGAACAATGAAAAAATGAGCAATGAAAAAAAAAATATTTACCATTCCTGTTCCCTGGCAGTAACCAACATCAGGATATAACCAAGCAAGACCACGCAGGATTCTACGTAAACGAGGAATACCTGTACTGTTGATGTTACAAAAGCATGCATTGCTTGGCATTGTTCGTAACAGATCCTGAATCAACAGAGGAAATGAAATCATACAGAGGTTATTTTTATAATAAATATTAATAAATCTTTAAATAAGTTGCCAAACAAGATGAATTGAGTCACATATTTTAAGAAATTCTCTTTATAAAATACAAGTACAACCACTTCTTTTAATTTTTTTTTTGTTTTTATTCTTATGCAGTTCATTTAAATAAACAACTTTTAGAATTAAAAAAAGTTAACTGCAGTCTTGGCAATAAAAAATGGGAAATTATTTTTGAAAAACAAAATTGTATATATTTATGTAGAAATTTGAAAAACTTTCATGGAATTCATGATAATAGAACATAAGAGTACCTCACAAAAAAAAAAGGTAAAACATAATTTACATTGTACATCACTCAATTTTAAACACTTTTGATAACAAATATCATTCTTATTGCAAAATTCCTTAAAGTAGCTACTAACCTTTTCTATTTGCTTTGATGTCATTAAATGATCATTAGAACTGGCTTTAACAACTTCTTTATATGTCATATCTGATTTGTGTTTCTTTTCAAGAGCACCTGAAATTCTCATCCAAATCTGACTGCGTAAAGAGTGAGGTATCCCCTGCTGGATCATTTGACGGAATTTTTCTGAGCGTGGGAGACGAGCTTCCACCTGGAAAATATCAATAAGATTAAAATTCTGAAAAGGAATTCATACAAGTTGGAACACACACACACACACATATATATATATAAATTTATAAAACAATTTGAAGTACCAAAATAAAAGTTGAAAATGGATGGAGAGTTTTAAGATAATTTTCCAAATATGATAAATACATTACAATACATGGTATTTTTTATCTCATAGCAAAAATTTTCAAATCCCAAATGCAATTTGACATTAAAAAGAATACATCAGGGAGGAGCAAGTGATTTAGCACAGGAAAATGATAATGATTGTCATTTAAAATATGAAAACAGAGTGAAAAAATTAATCAGAATTTAACTTACAAATAAAATACAAAAGTAATACTGCTTTGGTCAGGAAATAATTAAAAATATTACAACATAAATTGCAAGAAAACAGTAATAATGTTATTTATTAAGAAGTTTAAAATGTTTCCATTTAAGATATTAAAATAGACTAAATGAAATTTCAGTCCTTGTAAAGTTACTTATGCTTTAAAAAAATGCATGTAATTATGTTTTACAAACTTAATATATACATTAAGTCTAATCAAATTGTCACAACTTATAATAGAATTTTGTTTATATTCACCTTGTCCCAAGTCAAGTCACCAACTTCATTATTGTGTGTAAACTCCAAATAAGCTGTCCACTTTAAGCGATGTTGCGGATCTTCAATAAAAGGAGTGCCTAACAATTTGCTAGAATTTTCTTCAGGACCATCTAAAAGATAAAATATTCTTGCAATGAAGAGTTGTTTTTCATTTTTTATTTAAAATTGTTGTAGTTGAAGAGAAGTGTAAAATGAAAATCACAAAATACATGAAGTATTTTGTGATTTTCATTTTACACTTCTTTTGTAGTACCACATCTATCTTCAATTTCTTCTTCACCTAAATTCACCTTCACTGAAAAATAAAATAAATTTGTATGCAAAAATGTTTATTTTTCATCACTCTCTTCCTTCACAATTCATTATATTTTGAGTATCTCTATTAGTTGTTTAAACAGTGTTGATGTGCATTCACCTCACAAAATTTGCTTGGAACTGACCAAAAATCATTGAGTTTAAAAATTACAATTTTTTCTGTGTAAGGGAAAGGGAATTTTCTTCATTACTGAGCAGCAAATTTGGGTGATAAACAAAACATCCTCCTTGTATACAATTCTTTGACAGACAGAATAACTGATTTTATTTTTATTGAAAACTCTTTGGATGATCTCTTTATATTTCTGAGATGAAGTATTGTGACTATTTACATTATTCAGATTGCTGTCCTCATCTTTATTGACACATGGCCCAGTGAATAAAAGCGTTGGTTGAAGTAATCTAGTTACTTGACCCAAAGGAGTTCAATACCTGGCCAAAAACTTAGAGAATTGAGTTACTAAAGGGAGATAACTGAAACTGAGATATCCAGAAAGGGTATGGCACATGGAACTATAATACTCTACCTCAGTGGATGAAATAAAGGGTTTGGTTTGAAATTCTAACATATATCACCTGAAGAAGGCTGAAATGTACAATGGTTGAAACATTGTGAATATGACAATAAAGATGAAAACAACAGTCCAAACAATATAAATAGTGTAAATATTTGTGTAAAGATTTTTGGTCCTGTATGGTCCAGTATTACAGGTTAGACCTAAGTCTCTGGTTTCAAATGTGTTGTGGTAGGATCCACCTAATTTGCATAGTGGAGTACCGACCATATAAATATGGTTAGTACCGGGAAGATTGGGGAGGAATCAAGAGATTCAATCCAGAGACTCTGCGACTAAGTCAACACATTCTCCAGGAACGGTCTTCCCAGGAATATACAAAAGACTATATGTAAATATTGTGTACACTTTCTTGTTTCAATACATTTTGTTCTAAGTACATTTTGTGTTGCATTATTATTCCATGCATTAGTCAAGTTTCAACAAAATGTCAATTCGATTCCATTCACCAGCCACATTGTGATTTTTTATCCTGGCAAGTAGTTATTGGGTCATAGAATTCCGGAAGCTCTCCGTTGGTCTACCTGCAAGCGTATTGGGTGAGAATCGGGTTAACAGCAAATAAATATGGCCAAGGTGATCCGATTTTAGAGGGACAAGAGTTTTTGTATATATATAACATCAACAATACATATAATAATACAGTTCTCATGGCAAAAAGTTGAATGTCTTTTGTATATGAATGATGATCAACAAAACAAAAAAAAAATACTTTGTGTAATTTCATTAAAAGGAGAGAGGTGGCTTCGTTTTAACCCTTTCTGGTCTGTTCTTAGCGCAACTACTACAATCGTTGATGTTCCTGTCCTCAGTAGTAGTAATAGTAGTAGTAATATTAGTGGTAGTAAGAGCAGCAGTACTTATATCAACAGCACATGTTAGTGGGCACTTTGTTCCAATCTCTGACATTACTTCCTCACTGTCTCTAACCCAACTCTGCTCTCTCTTTATATAGAGAACTGGTGATGTATTTGTTTTTTCTGGAGTGAACATACTGACATACTTTTATTAGGAATGGGATTCAACCCATTTTCCGACACACTTCTAAATTAAAACTTCACACTAGTTTCATCTTTCAGTACCCTGACCGTATTACCATTGTTCTAAGTTTATCTATTAATAGCTCTGAGCAATTTTGATAAACTTTACATAGATTCATACTGTCTTGTCATCGATAAAATTAACCTTTAGATCTAGTCATTCCGAATTCTGTTTTTTATTAATAATCTGATATCTTTTGTACACTTAAAGAGAAAAAAAAAAGATTGTATTTCACTTTCTAAATAAAATAGGTAACATTTACATTTCAAAGTCTTAACAGCATTTTCAACATCATGGTTCTTTTGAAAACGCCTTTTTTCCTGTCTTCTAGCATATTCTCCTTTATTATCATTATTATTATTTTGGGGTGATATTGTCCCCTGCCACATTTGGAAGATCATCTGGGTGATTCAAAAGCAACTAAAAATGATTCTTTGAGTATTGAAATTGGAGAGCCAATACAACAGAACACAAATGAATCTGTAAATCATATTAAATAGAATCTAAATTAGCAAGAATAATGTATCAGAATTTGTTGCACCACAAACGTAGTTGGTAAGGAATTTGATATATTGTCTTTTAGGTAGAGAAGTAAAAACAGACACTTCATTTTAAATAATAAAAAAAACTCTTTAAAGTTTTAGAAAAGCAGATACAGGATATATTAGTCAACAGGAGAGCTTGAAAAAAAAAAAAAAGCAATAACAAGTAGCTACATCATAAAATGATTTGTCAGTATTGCAGATTAAAGGAGTATGAAATAAGTAGAGTGCTGCTTGCAGAAATCAAACAGTAGTTACATGTAAAGAAACATCCACTAGCTCTCCTCTGAGGAAAGGCAGAAAGATGAAGAAATAATACAGATTTTTGGAACTGTGATCTTTTGTGGTATAGAATGAGAAAAACAATTCTACAAAGCTTTGGTAGACATAAAAGTTATGGTTTCCATAATGTAAGAGATGTTTGATGCCTTAAAAAGGTCATGCCCCAAATTATTTTCCTCAAGTAAGAGATTAAAGTTATTAAAAAGTATGAAATTAAAAACACTAAGGTTGAATACAAGTGAGGAAACAGAATGACACTAAGAATGTCAAGAATAATATTGGACAATGACTAACTTTTGTTTTGATAAGGGTCATATTGATTTTCATAAAATTGGTCTTACCAAATGATGAACACAGCGCAATCTAATTATATTACCAATGTATGTCTAAAACATAACACATGAAGTATATGCTATCTATAGCTATGTCCAGTGTAATCAGCTATATTAAATTTTATCTGCAGTGAAGAGGGTTTTGTTTTCCAGAATGAAAGGATTGATAATGCCTCGTATAGTTATTAATGAAAAAAAAAGAAGGTGCAAGCCTGTTGTTAATTTCCAAAAGGTGTACTAGTGGGAGCGCAAGTGAGAGAAATTAACAGATAAAGAGATTTAATTGTTAAAAAGCCAATCCATACTATATGGGATGAGGAAATACAACTATTTCCTTGTCCCATATAGTATGGATTGGTTTCCCAACAGAATATAAGAATATGATAATTAATAATAATTACTAAGGAACAAAGATATAACTGATGCAAATGAATGATCAGGAATTGGAAAGATGGAAACTATGGAAATAGATATATGGCACTATTCCCAAATTAATTAAGATGATAGGATATCACTACATAAAAGAAGACTGATGTCAGTTACAATTTACAGAATTTATTAAATATTCAAGTTTAGTTTGAGTAGTACTCACTGCTTCTGTGTGGATTTCTGAATGAAAATTACAAAATTTCTGCTTCATCCACTTTTTAATAAACAATATATTAGCTACACTTTAGATCAAATAGAATAAGAGTCATGATCCTCAATAAGATACATAAAATCTTATAACAGAATTAAAAAATACTTCTAAAGATGGAACAATTAGATCAGAGAAGTCTCCTACAACAAAGGAGAAGAACCTAGAATACATAAAAACATGGAAAGACCTGAAATATTAAAATCTGAAGTAAGATAGGCACTGGCCATATGAACAGGAACAAAGCCACAGCACCAAATGAGATTATAACAGAAATGCTAGGTGCTTTAGACAATTTTGAAATTGATGAGATTAATGAAATAATAACTTAAATAAATGACAGTGGTAATATACCGAAAGATCTTAGTAAATCCATCTTTATGAAAAGAAACACAAGTTCCAGATAATAACATTAGACTAGGAATAAGTCAAGAATGGTGTGGCTTTGTTAGAAACACTGGAACAAGAAATGTGGTCTTTATTATCAGGATGCTATCAGAGCAAACAATAGATAAAGTTGAACACCTATATTTCATAGACTAGGCAAAGACATTTCATATCGTATAAAAGAAAGACTATTTGAGCTTCTATGAAAACTTTATTTTAAGAAAGATATAAAAATTTTCTGAAACATTTACTAGGAACAAACTACCTTGAATACAGAGAGAAAATGGATTGAGCACAAAACAGGAAGAGGTGTAAGATAAGAATGTGTCTCCTTACTGGATTTATTCAATCTATACAGTGGAGCTATCCTAAGAGAACTAGGTCCTACCAAAATTTATTATTGGTGGGCACAATCTTAACTACATAAAATATGTGTTGATGACAGAAAGAAAACTGCAGGAACTGCTAGAGAAGCTATTAAAGGAAGCATGAAGAAAGGCTAACTATAAATGGTAAGACAGAATGTATGGTCATTAACAAGAGGAACAACTGAAAATGTGAGCTATGAATTGGAGATGTTAATCTCAAGCAAGTACAGAATTATAATTTCAGAGCTCAAGCAAACCATTTGATCCTGCTAACTACTGGACTATCAGGCTTCTACCTCTGGTTGACAAAATACCAAAAACTCTAATCAACTCTGAATTGGTTAAGCATCTCACCTAACAGGGTCTTCTTTCAGAGAAACAATATGGCCTTTGCTTTTCTAGGTCAACTGTTGATGTATTAATGATTATAGTTGAAAGAGTCTATCAAGCTTTAGATAAGAATGTTGAAGCTCGGGTGGTTGCATTAGATATCTTAAAGGCATTTGACTGGGTTTGGCATGCTGATCTTCACAAGTTGAAAGGTTATGATATTTCTGAAATTTTTGAACTGATTTTGTCTTTCTTATCAAATCGCAAAATGAAAGTTGTCTTAAACACCCACTCTTCTATA